CCAGATAGATTGCCAACCTAAACAATCTTGGAAAACAACAAGAGAGACTACTGGCCTGTTTTGGAGGTATAGAAATATTTTTTAAACGAAATATAAAAAAAATCACTATCCCTAAAGGAAAAGATTGATCAATTGGAACACGCTGAAGGTAAGACCTTTTGTTCATAAAAATGCCATTAAGAGAGCAAAAAGGCGATCCATATGGTAGGAGACATTTACAGTACCTACAAATGGCAAATGGCTTAGATTCAGATGATATAAAGAGCAAATCTATTTAAAAATGGGCAACCCAATAGAAAACCGGCCAAGACACCTGAATAGGCACATCACAAAAAGGGTATCCAAAAGGTCAATATGTAAATGAAAGATGTTCAATTTGATTACTCAGCAGGGAAATGCAAATTAAAACTACAATGAGCTGCCATGACACACCCACCAGAATGACTAAAAATAAAGCATCTGACAATTGCCAACTCCTGGCAAGGATGTGGAGCAATGAAGATGTTCTAACATGATCAGTGGGAGTAGAAGAAATAATTACAACCACTTTGGGAAACTCATTGGCTGTATCTACTAAAGATATAGATACAGTATACCCTATGAAATAGTATACCTATGACTCCTGGGTTTATACCCAAGAAAAATGTGTATGTATGTTTACTAACAAAATATGCAGGAAAATGTCGACAGCAGCACTATTTGCAAGAAAAAAGGAAACAACTCAAATTTCTATTGATGATTAGTAAATAAATACGTTGGGGTGTATACACACAATGGAGAATTACTTGGCATGAGGTGAAATGGGTTGTGTCTATACGCCCAGCCCAGATACATTTCACAACCACCATGTCGAGTGACAGAACTCAGACACAAGAGCTCCTACTGCCTATTTCTGTTGACATCATGTGCAAAACTAGGCAAAAGGAAATTACTGTGTTCAGGGTTGCACACTTAGGTGGTAAAACCAGAGTCAGTAGAGTGGATATTTTTGCGGGAGGGAACAAAAGCCATACCTGAGAGGAAGCAGAAGGGAACTTGGGGGAAGTTGGTAAGATTGTCCTTTGTCTCCTGGGTGGTGGTTACACAGGTGTGTTCACCCTGTCATGTCGTTAAGTGGAGCACTTACGTTGCATGCACTTTTCCACATACATAAGCATGGATATTCGTGTGTTTTTAAAACTTCTCAGTTTTGTTTTCCTACACGGTAAATACCGGGATGCCAACAAAATGTATTCACGTTTTAAGAGATGTTAAGAGGTGTTCGCTATAATCAGAAGTATCTGGATGCTGAAAGTAACCATTTTGAACATCTCTTGGAAGTGCAGAAGTCAGATGGAACTTGTATTCATCTTTTGTTATCGGTATCTATTGAGTATGCACTTTTAAATTTTTTCCTTTCTTGAAACGTGTGCAACAGTTTTTTTTGGCACCTTCTGTATTGGTAGACTTAATCCACTACAAAAACTCAATAATGTTTAAGCGTGTACAGTTTGAGAACTGCTGCTATGGTTGAATTTTTTTTTCAAGTTAGGTTCTCACTCTGCTGCACAGGCAAGAGTGCAATGGCACAACCATGGCTCATCACAGCCTTGACCTCCTGGGTTCAGGTGATCCTCCCACCTCAGCTTCTCTAGTAGCTGGGACTACAGGCATATGCCACCATGCCTGGCTAATTTTTTTTTTCTTTCTTTTTTTTAGTAGAGATGAGGTCTCACTATGTTACCTAGTCTCGTCTTGGACTCTCAGGTTAAAACAATACTCTTGCCTCAGTCTCCCAAAGTACCGGGAGTGAGCCACCATGCCTAGATTAAATTTTTTTTTTTTTTTCAAGTCAGGGTCTCACTCTGTTGTCCAGGCTAGAATGCAGTGGTACAATCATGGCTCATCACAGCCCTGACCTCCTGAGCTCAAGCAATCCTCCTGCCTCAGCCTCCCGAGTAGCAGGCATGTGTCACCACACCCAGCTAATTTTTTATTTTAATTTGTGTAAAGATAGGGTCTGGTCTCAAACTGCTGGGCTCAAGCAATGCTCCTGCCTTGGCCTCCCAAAGTGCCAGGATTACAGGCATGAGCCACCACCCTGGCAGTGAAATGTAGCATACCTTTCTAACATAAGGAGGGCAGCAGACCACAGGACTGTTAGCAGACTGCCGGGGGGCTGGGGGAGAATTCTGTTATGAAAAGAAATCACAGGTGTTCCCAAATCCCATTACAGTCATTACAGTCTGTAATTACAGGGAGATTACAGAATCTCAAACATCTTCCATCCACCCATTAAAACTTCTAAATTATTTTATTTTTTGAACCACCACTAAATCGTGCAGTTTAATTCACCAATAAAGAAGTACATATATTACTGTGTCACATATTTGTTTTTAAAACATTTGTGTATCTGTAATTCAAGCATTGGCTTCCTGTGCAATTCTGTGTATTTATTTTATGCATGTAAAAACACATCCTGAGAGGGACTTCACCAGCCTGCCATAGACATCTTTAGCACAAAAAAAAGTCAAGAGACTCCAGCTCTGGAAGACGACCAAAAAACCAGAAAATAAAGGGTGGTTATTACTGGTGCCCACAGGAATGGCAGGTACTTAGTTTGGCTAAGAAAGCTGCTTTCTGATACATATTAAGCTTAAATGGAGAGTGTGGAAGATGGGTGAAAAAGTCAAACAGTGCAAAAGACTCGTCCTGAATCTCCGGGCCTCTGTTGCAGGTCTCTGGAATCAGTGTCCCCAACCTGCAGAAGCTGAATTTGCAAAGCCCCGACCTTTCCTGCTGCTCCTTTGTGACAGGCCACTTCCAAGTTCAAACAGCTGGCCAGGGCTAGCTGGGAAGATTCCCACTTGCTCCATAGACCCCGGGGGCGGTTCCTGGAGTTCAGACATTAAAAATAATTGGAGTAACAGCTGATCTTATCCAGCCCTGACTCTGGGCCGGGCCCTCTTCTCAGCGTGAAACCTCATGATCGACTGGTTTAATCCCCACAACAGTCCATGGAGAATGCCCTAGGATCGCCTCCTTTTTTACAGGCGAGAAAACCCGAGTTCTGGCGAGGTTGAGTAACCCACCGAGGGCGCACAGTTCAGAAGCAGCCCTGGAATTCGTGGGGGGGGGGGGGGTTAAGGAGGAGTCAGAGGCCCGGCTGGGCTGGGAGAAGGAAGAAAGGAGGAAGCAGGAGGGCATGAGAGGAAGATGCTGCCGCGCGGCAGGAAAGAATGGGGCTCCCCCGGCGCCCGCGCACCCGGGTACCCGGGGATTGGGCAGGGCCAAAGGTGGGGGCCGATGTCC